TATCTTCCTTTTAGGTTACTGGTTTTAGGAACTGAGATACAGTTGTAATGCACAACTGGGACTGCTTGAGACCAAACACTGTGTTGAGCCCAGATACCCGGACTGTGATACATTGAAAACTCTAAAATAAGCAAAGGTGTCCTGAAAAAAGAATTTTCATTAACACAGTGCTGTGAAATCTTCCCTTCTAGTGTCAAAAAGTCAGTATTTTTGACATTACATTTTGAGAACACAAATATTTGCCATGAGTTGGTGCTCATGAGTGACACATCAAACTTACACTCAAACTCCACTAAACAATCATTAATTCCTGCTTCCCAGAAAGAGGTAAGTCAGAGATATGTTCTTTTTTTCCCCTATCTTCATGCTCAGGAAAGGAATATAACATCATAAAAACAATTTGCTGCTTCAAAACTCAAGCAGTCCAGAAAGAAGTGAGAATGAGGATGATATTAAGTTAAGTTATGCTTCCTAACTGCCAGGGTTTACTGTTAGGAAAAAATAAAGCAACAAAGCTGCTTAAAACAACAACCATAAGAAAGAAACAGGATGATCACTCTCTACGTTCATATTCACTGTCAGAAATCAGTTCTGAAACATCAACATAATTTCAAAACTACTTAAAATAATTTGTTTAAAATAAGTAAACAAAGTGTATTTTGCGCAGCACACTTCTTATAGCATGAAAGACAAGACATTTTCTACCTTTGCCTGGGCTTTACCTCAGTTACAGAGTTTCCCAACCTAAGCTTCCAATTACACTGCAAAACAGAATTATTGGCCAGATACCTGGGCTTGACCAAACTGGCAGAGGATTGACAGCAGGAATCAAAAGACAAAAGCAAACCTTCCATTCCCTTCATCTTTCACCCGATCAGAGACTGAATCAATCATCAAATTTAATTTACAGAAAACTAAGAACTGATGCAAATTGTACTGCCTGGATGATCACCACAGCACTGAATTTCACCGTGCTTATCTTCTCTCACCCAGAAGTTCTTTGTGCTATGGACAGGCTGAGAAGGGATGGCACGATGGCACAAAGTCACAATCTTGTGTCACAAATCTTGTGTCACATTACATTGCTTCGGGATTACTTATTCTGTAAGAGCAGTTTTTACCTCCATGCACCAAATAAGCACCACTAAAATAAGAACCAAAACTTACCTTTAGAATAATTTTAATGGAAATTACACTGTATACCTTGGAAACTACTGCTATAATGCAAGTTTATGAGGAGAAGAACAGAAGAAAAAAGCCAATACAAGATTGAAATTTAAGTATGCTAGCTCAGATTAACACCTATTTTCTCCTATTGTGCAAGAGTGTGGTAGACAGTACAAAAACTGAGTTGAGGTTGTAGAAAGCATTAAGGTGGCAGGCAATAGTTAGCATTGCAGTTTTGGGTATGTGCTCCACACAGACATGACACCACAGATGACAGTACTGAAGGCCCTTAAAATTATGTCACTGAAACCTCAAGTTAATAAAAAAATTCTGTCTTCAAGGTCTGTAACAGATGGTAACAACTTTAAAGCTGGCACGTGTTCTCTTTTGTGACAAGGACAAGCCCATTGTTTAAAACACCACTAAACTAGAAACTCTGCGCATCTAGGTAGCTCTACCCACACACAGAGTTATTTAATACTACAGTTTCAGAGGTTGTTTTATGTTACAGCTTATAACATTCAGATGTGAACTGCAAAATCATACAGAGTCTACTAAGGTAGAAAATAAATAGCTAATTAAGAAAAAATGGGTCTTTATTGACAGTATTTTTAATTTTGCTTAGCCAAGTTTTCATCCGTGATTTTATTAAACATCAAAAATACTAAAGCCCAGTTTGCTGAAGACAGTATAAAGATTTCTTTTCCTGAAGAATCTTGCAAGGGAAGTTTTACGAGTTGGTAATTCTTTGGCAGTTCTGATGTTTTTGATTTTACCTGAATAACCACAGTACAACACTAATACTGAGAACCAGGAAAATGGTGCTTCTATGGTAAATATGAATTTGTATGTGCTATTAAAGAAGAAAGTGACTTAACAAATCAAAAGACTAAAGTTCTCACATCTCTTTGTACACCCTCCAACTAACTGAAATCTATGCTTTTAATAGGCTGATAGACTGTTACCATTCTAGACACTGATTTGAAGCTATCCAGCTTCAGCCTGGAAAATTCATCTACAGTCTCTTGTCAGAAGCAGGAAAAAAAAATAGCTAAGCAGTGAGATAGCTAGAGAATACAGCATCAGTTAGTCCTGAATACTGCAGCAGTTCTCCAAATTTCCCAATTTTCAAACTTGCACAAAAATTTCCATATCCTCTTTTTAATCCAAACACTCCTTATTCAAATACCAAACCCAATATTACTAAATGAACTGGCTTAAGTTTCTTCTGAAATGCTGACATAAAAGCCACCAGAGAACCACAGAAATGCAAAATTTTACTTACTTGAGAATATGCAAAGTATAGCCAAATAAATAATAACAAGGTACAATGAGCTCTGTACCTGAAATTCACTATTTATAAAGCTAGTGAATCTGTGAAAACAGATATTAGAAGCCTCTGACATGAAAATGTTTTGAGGACAAAAACAAAGTGCAGATTAATTTCTCCTCCCTCTTCACAAGGATCTAGCATATTTGCCTTCTGCATTCCAGAGCTTACCATAGCTTTGCAGCTGTTCAAATAATTTTTTTCTGTTTTCTTAACAGGCATTCTGAATTCCTTATTTGTTCTATATTATTAGGCCAGGTAACAGCAGGGATAATGATGCTCCACCCTTTGGCCATGAAAGGAAAAAAGAGTAATTCACTTACCTGGGAAAATAGAAAGGACAGCCAACTGTAATTAAATGCAACCAATTAGGCCTAATTAAAGGAGACTAGACCAAACTGGAGTGTGCTCTTTTACCATCAAGTTTAGATGAACAGCTACACAAGAAACATATAAGGCCAGCTCCTGTGAGTTTTGTCAACTAGCATTTCACCTAACACTCTTCAATATGATATGGATTAAAAAGAGAAAGACTGCTCTAAGGTATTGGAGCCATAGGTTTGTAATTCCATTTAAGCATATAATTATTACAGCACAGTTGTGGAAAATAAAAAGATTAAAGAATCAACTAAAATCTATTGCAAACCTATGTTTTGTTTTTACTCATTTACGTCAACACATCAGAGTCAAAATTAAGAGCTCCACTGTAAAAGGTAAGATAGTCTTTTCTGAAAAGTTTACAGTTCAAATAGATGAGATAGAAATAGCATAAAGAAAGACAATCCCTATTTGATAACATGAAAATGAAGCACTACTCCAAGACCATGGGGAAATAAATTAATTTAACTAAAAATTGAAACTAGATTCCTTGAACTATCCCTTCTTTGTGACATTGTTGCATTTCAGGTTTATTAGCCATATTACAGGACAACAGCTTCTGGAAAACTGACATAAAAATGGGACAAAAGTGAAAATACTCTAAACTGCTGCAGAATCACACCAAGGCAGCAAATCTGAAGACAGAGCTCAGAGCAAGGAATTCAAAGTACATATTAACTAATGGTTCTCTCCCAATATTGTATGTATTACTGTTCCAGATCTACTTACTGTTTGAGATTCAAGTAACAGGTAACGTAAGTGAAGCTCAAAAAAAAGAGTAATTTATGCCAGAATATATCTAGAGCTTCTTTAACAAAAACATAAGCAAGCATATAAGATCATCTTCTGTAAGAACCTGAGCATCCAAAAAGGACTGTAATGTGGTTTGGTTGTATCTTCTAATTATAAGATTAAGCCCTGTAATGCAGTTTTTATATTCACCGCAGAAGAGTTTTTCAGCATGCGTGACACACTGCACATCATTTCAGCAGAACATGCATTCTGTGTTGAAGTAGTCTAGGTACAATCCAAAAAAAACCCTAGCTTTTAAAGAATTGGGTGCTGTTACAATTTTAGAATTTTATGATAATCATTTTCATGAGACACTTATGTTCTCGGCTCCCTTGTTGTTTTCCTCCACTGAAACAACCTTAAAATGAAAAGCATGACTTAGTGTAAAATGTTCCTTTCCCCAATGGTCAGAAAATTCAACCTAATAGATACAGGAAGTTAGTCAGCATCACATGACACAACTAATTTTTCCTCTCAAGTTATTGCTGATAATTGCAGTGCTCCAAACAGCAAGGCATGTAGAACATTATTTCATACAAAGTGATTATTAATTGTCACATCACTTTAAAATATCATTTGTTAACTAATGGTAATTAATTTTTTTTCGTAGCTTCTCAAAATATAATAAAAAATTACCAACTTTCCCCTGGTACTTGAATGTTTACACTCAACTCCAAGAACTTTCACAAGCTCTTTTTCCTTTGTTTTGCCCCCTGATAGATACATGTGGACATTTAGAGCCATAATCATTTGACCATATTAAAAAGTCCACAGCAAAAAAGTTTCTGTACAATTACAGTCATGCTGGAAGATATAAAACAAAACAGTGTCGATACTCATTTTGCTTTTTTTACAGTTCATTTCCAGAGCCCTTTCAAACACACACAATGCTTTCTTGAATGATTATAATATCATATATTAGGCAGAAGATGGAAACTTCTAGTAACATTTGGAGTGATAATGAACTTTTGCTTAATACATATGCCAAAAAGAATAAAGAAAAAATAATGGGCAAGTTGCTAGGAAAAGCTGTAAGGCAAGTCAATTTTTTAATTAAAAAAAATTACATACCAGAAAATGTTAATGAGCCAAAAGTCCCCTGAGTTCACTTTTACACATTCTGCACTATATTGATGCTCCTGCTAAAGAAAACTGAATTGTTCTCACTCACAACTGAAGACATTCTTTTCTCAATGTCATGGCAAAATCTAAAATCTGAAAGTATCTTATTGTGTTGCTTTACTTACTTACTTTAAGCAACTCAGAGTTATCAAACTAGAAGTAGAGAAGACAAAGTGATCACAAGTCACATAGTAAGAAATTTCAACAGTACCTTTAAGTTCTTCATAAATGCTATCATCTGTAAGTTCACTGTTCTCTTGTCCAACATCATCGTACTCCTCCTCCTCAGGAATAGTATTAAATCTTGTATCTATGTGGCAGCAATTTAAAAGGTTAACACTTAGTAGAAAAGAAGGCCTAAGCAGATATTTACGCAAAATGAAAACAATTCTTCTATGACCCGCTCCTTACAGTATATTCTGCTTATTTTCTTATACTGTTCAAGGGATAAGGGACAGCTTACATAAAGGAGCTTATATAAGGGAGAGCCTTCAAGCTCTCTAGTATTTCTAGTATTCTTGGAGAAAAGAAAAATCTTGCAAAATTAGAAAAGTCATATAAAAGCTACAACACAATTGAAAACTAGGACTTGCTATTCCAAACTTTCACATGTGGGAATACTACATGTACTAACGTGACAGAGAAGTTAACGACCAGAACTACCATCACTAAGCACTATTGGCAATAAAGGCTACTGCTCTACTGGCTGGCTTACCTTGAATTACAAATTGGATTTGCTCTACCCATTCCTCTGCTTCTTTGGGAGTGGCAGCTGTAAACTATTAAACATTCATTAATAACTACCAGCAGTAATGACAATAAACCCAACTACAATTTCATTAGCAATAAAAAAGAGGGACTGTAACATTCTCGTCACTTCCTCAAGAAACCATTAGTAATTCTTTTCATGTTTTCTGGTACTTTTCTTGCAAGGATGCTTCTTATAATGTACAGCTAATTTTGACAAATTTACGTAATTGAAGGAGAGGATGATGGATTTGAAACTCTGATCAGCAGCTGGCAGCTGTGCAGAAAAAAGCTGCTTCTCTTCATCAATGTCAAAGCCAGAACTGATGAACAAAATTTGCCCTTGACAATTAGAAGACACCCATGAATTTCTTTAGACTGCTGGGTACAGTTTTCTTAAAAATGTTCTTGTCAGACTCCAACACACTACCTGACAGCTTAATTAACTGGCTTTCAACCGCAATCTCAGATATTTAAAACTTATTAAACTTACATTCTATATTGATGTCTAGCTGATAGATCTCTGAATTGCACAGCTGATATGTGCCTTTATGTAGATTTTTCTTTAAAAGTCATGACCAGTACAATATCTATTTAACACTGATACATATTTTAACTTCTTTTTTTTTTTTTTACTATTTAATTCCTCCAAAAAATCACACAGACACACTATAAAATAGATATTAAAATGCTAATATTGAAATGACCAATAGATAAAGATGATAGATTACCTCATTCTTGACCAAAAAGATAATATTTTAACATGTACATACATATGTTTAATCAGATTTTTTTTCCTAATATATGAATATACAATATAAGCAAGTGAGGGTTTCCTCTTTTCATTCCTATGTCAGCGAAGGTTGTTTTACTGCAATGTTAATTCAGTAACTGGAATTGTAACGGCTTTATCAATTTAATTTCAAGTCAACATAAAAAAGTCCAACCTGATAAATGCGCTTATCAGGAGCAGAGATTTCAAAACAGCAATCTTTCTTTGCATCCTTCCGAAGGCTATTATTCATTCTGATGGTGTAGCCCTCTAAGGCAAATTCACCTTTCTGTTGTTTGTCTGTTGGAGATAAAAAACAAAGTTAGAGCTTCATTTACAACAGTAAACGTAAGTGGCTCAGCAGGTTATCGTTTATTCAGATTTTGTTTTCTATTTCATGAATTTTACAAAGAACAGGAAAGTTTTTAGCAAAATGATTAAGTGATGCTTCTGGAGATAAAGCTTTATTTTAAAGGAAGATGTACACAAAAGTACATTTTCCTGTAGGATGCATAAGGAATTCCACAGGGGGATGTTTGCAGATGGTGGTCTTATTTAGTAAGAAGTGCGTGTTATGACACTTGTGTCTAGGGAAAGCCAAGAACTGGAACTTGCAAGACACGTTTCCTATAAATCAGTGTCTCTTTCAGGTTCAGTAAACCAAAGGGAAAACCTGTCTAACTCAGAACTTGCTGAGCTCCCTCCTAAACTAACCACTTCACTCAAAAAATAAACTTCAAACTCCTTTTTTAAGCAATTGGAAAAGCTTCTTTTCACATTCTCCCACCCACTCCCAGATGTGCTTCCTTTCCATATGGTAGAAATACAGAATGAATTTTGTTATAAATTCAGGTGTGTGCATGTGTGTTGGTTCCAAACGCATTTCTCTCAAAACAGCAAATGTTTAATTAGCTAATAAAAGTACTGAGCCCTACCACAGTTTATTATGTACAGCCATGTGGTTGTTTTAAAGACAATTCTACTTTTCAAAGGCTCTGGTTTATAAAAGTATCACTTACAACAGATCTGAGTTTAAATATACCGCATGTTGGGCAAGCAGCAGCTGTGTACTCCTTTTGAGCTCTTCACACCAAACTCTACATTGGATTTTATGTGCTCTGGCATATTTTGGTGAATATTAAAAACAAACCAAAAATGTAAAAGTGATTAAGTTTTGCAATTTCTGCAGATCACAGTGCAGTGTTCAAGTGAAGATGGGCACCATGAGTCACATTTTGTGAAGGCAAACAAAGAACAAAGTACAGTTGCATATGGAAGAAAATGCCATTCAGTGTGGGGTTTTTTTTCACACAGTAGAGAAAAGCATTTATTAACAATAAGCATCAGGCACAAGAGCAAAACTGCTCTAAGTATTGCTGAATAGAACTTAGGTGCAAATTGAGCATCCATTCCTTATGCTTGTCAACGAAAGGAGAAAATTCTACAGTAGACAAAACTACATTTTTTTACATAATTTTGTCATATTTCTGGAAATTTAATAGGAAAAAAATCTTTTTCCGCTCCTAAGAAGGCAAAAATTGACTAACATGGCAACATGAACGTTAGTGGATGTAAGGGCAGTCACCAGTCAAACACTCTTGCTAGTAATCTTATATGCGCACAGACACAAATTCTTTGTCCTTCCACCTTTTTATGAACTCTCACCCAGGGCAAGCAAATACCAAATAACACAATTATATGAGAAAATCCGGGGCACTGTTCTATTTTCACGTCTAGTCCCTTCCCCCACAGTAGTTTCTATTATGTCTTAAATAAGTCCTAATGATACAGTACTAATATTTTATATTTTCTCAATTCTCCATCCCTATATCAAACAGCACACACAGGCAAAGCTCATGAAATCACACCAAGGCAGATATTAGAAATAATAACTTGCAATAGGTTAACTAGGTTCCATTTTAATGAAATTCATTTTTGCCTAGGAATTTTATTGTTCCCTCACTTGTGACCTCAGGGAGAAGACCAAGTGAAACACATTAATTTCCCACTCTCCCATGCTGGAGGTTTATCAAAACCCAAGAAGATAGGAACACGCAGACAAAATAAATAAACACCAGGTTCAAAAGGTAAAAACATTTTGTCAAGATAAAAATGAGGCAAATATTCAAATTTAGTCTCTTGGATTATTTCTGAGACTGCTTCTCTATGACATGGATGATCCCTTTTATGGTAATACACTTTTACACAGCGAATCTCATATGATCTCTGCACTGCTACTCATTCTTTCAAAGAGCACTGCAGTTAAAACACAAAGATGCTGTACTTTGGAAGGGGATGGTGCACGGTATACATATTCTATTTGATTGTTCTGGAGTTTATACTGGTTTTGTCTTATCTCTCTGAACGTCTCATTTCAGTGCTAATGAAAATTACCAGTACACACCACCAAATACATATGTATATGTATCTCCTTTGCTATTAAATTTTTTCACTGACCTTTATAGCAATAGGCTAGTCATAGCATTGCTACTTTTACTTCTTATTGTCTTAGCAGTAACTTCTGACTAAAGTCCAGTGTAGTATCATGCATATAGTTAAAACATTAAAAATGCAGAAATTCTAAGACAATGAGACACTTCACAGCCCTGACTCAGAACCCACTAAAATTGAGAGAAAGACTCTCAGTATGCATTCACACTCCCTGTGGCAGCAAGCCAGAGGTAAGACCTAGTATGTCCTGAGAAACGGCTCCACAAATACAGAATGGCAGGACACAGGCCAGCTGTAGCTCAGCTGCATGCTCTGATGGTGACAAGCAACGAAGGTCTATGAATCCCAGTTGTTCTTGCAGAATACACCTTTCCAGTTAGGACGGGAGACCAACACCATCAGCTGATCGCCATGGAACAAACCACAGCCCAGGGTAGCTTTTTGGCCAGGCACAGTAGTCAGGTGCAGGCTTGAAGGCAGGGCCATCTTGGGATCATCAGACTCAACAATCATCTCAACTTTGTTTGCAAAGGCTTGCAGCTAAGTACTCCTGCAGACAGACTCAGGCTTTCAGTTCAAAGCTGCCCTGTGAAGTGAGTGCCACAGTGACTTCTGTGAACTTTCACATGCAGAGTTAAATTGTTTATATCAGAAATACTTTCTGGAGACTGTGCCTTAGGGAGAATTAAACAGTTTTTGATGTTTAAAAACTTTGAAGACTAAAAGATTTTACTTGGAGACTTAAAATTAGATATAATTGGGTTTTATGGCAGGAGCCTTAGAAGTAGCTTCAAGAAGCACATTTACATTACAGCTATTTAATTTTCATTCTGAACCCCCAAATCAGAGCCAGAGTTTTGCTTATGCACTAACACAACAGAATACTTAGGTTGAAATTGGAAGACACATGCTAATGGAACACGCTTCTCTGAAGAATGACAACATTTTTGCTGCCTCTCATTTTCTCAAGATAGGGCTTTTCAGTTCAACAACAGGAAACCCTTAAGTTGTCTCAGAACAACATAGAACAGAGATGCAAAAAGTATAATAATATCAGCCTTGTAAAACCACAAAGGATCACAAATAACATCACACATAGGCTGTTCCACAGTGAAGTCAAATCTCATTTCAGAGTAAGCTGTTCTTTGGTCTCACCCCTCATCCTCCTCCTCTCTCCTTCTTCCCATGTCAGGCACACAACAGAAAAATAAATCTATGTCTGTGTTGATCATTTTGCAACAGGAATTAAGAACCATACAGAGGTAGTATAGCAGAGTGGTGAATCAGAAACTACTTATGAAAAAAGTCAAAACTAAGGTATTTAGAGAAATAAATATGAGAGGATGATATTTAAAATAGCAAAAATTCAGATTTTAATTACATTTGAGAGCAAATTTAAATGTTTTTCTTACATATAAACTTCATTCATCCTAAAAATGGTTAAATGTTCTTAACAATGGAAACAGGGTCAATATTATACTGGGGAAAGGGAGTCTCAAGGGAGGCAGAGAAAAAGGGTTTTGAAGAAACCTTGTGTAACTAAGTCCATGGGAACTTTTAAAACAAAGAAGGGTAAACCTTCAATGAGATCTTGAAATGACTGGGTTGTAAATTTGAGGCCTAAGGCAGTGCGTCCATATTATTAGCACATGTAAAAAGAATTAGTGCACTCTGAAGAATAGAGAGTACTCGGGTAGTAGAAAGAAGTTGCAGAGGAAGGCACAGGGAACAAAGGCAAACAGAAAGATTTCAGAGAGTGATAAAGTATTTATAGATACTATTAGAATCTATAATTTAACTCTCTTCATCTTGAAATTAGGAGCCTGTAAGATTTTATGGTTTACATGGCTTCACGCTAAATGTAGTTTCACATACTTTTCCATGTGTAGGATGTCTGCTTTCTAAAAATAGTTAAGTGTCAGTATCTCCAAAATGGTAATTCCTTTTCCAGCATTTGGAACAGTCCTTCTCAAATGCATGCGCAGAAGTTCTTTCCTTTTAGACAGCAGATCTGAAACGTAATCGCCTTTTTTTTTTCTTCTTTCCTTTAATCTAGCCCTCTGAGAAATGGAAATTAAAAAAAAAAAAAAAATTAAGAAATGGATGCAATGATTGAAACACACTATTTAGGGTACCAATTTGTTTATATTCATTTTGCTTATACCCAGTAGTCATTTTTTAAATAACACACTGTTAACCGTAAGTGTGCCTCTCGAGGTCTGAATTTAGCAGTCTCGTAACAGAAGATCCGGTACACATTAGATAGATGCCTTTGATTGCCATCACTCTGCTACAACAGAGTCCTGGTGAGCATGCACAATTTCCTCTTTTGCACAAATAGCAGTAGTCCACTACTGGCCTGGCTGTCACTATCTTACTATTCAGAGAAATCCAAAATTATCATGTCCATGTTAAAAGTAAAGAATTTTTAAAAAATATACTAAGACTTCTAAAAGCCTCTGAATCGCACTCCTCTTCAACATCATATTACTGGCAGGCAGGCAGGCAGATACCATTTTCAAGTTATAAAAATGAAAATAAATTTTTAGTGCCCATTAACAGGGGAAAAATTACCATAATGTTATCAATTACTGTCTTGCTAAACATTTAGCTGATCTTTCCAGTTTGCTGAGACAGAAGGGCATATAACATTGTGGCCTGGTGAGGAAGAAGTAATGAAGCCATTAATTCATTCATTTATAAAGCAACAAATTAACTTTCCTTCTTCACATGCACTTTGAGGTCTGAAAGGTTATCCATACCATCTTGGTGTCTGAGGACACAGGAACAGCCAGAGATCATATAGAAAAACGACAGGCAATTAGAGTACTCAACTCAGGGCGCAACTGCATGGAAGAAAAGAAAAGAAAAGAGAGGTCTATAAAACGTTTATGGAAGGAAAGACTACGAAAAGGAGGATCAGGCAAGCTTCTGGAAATCCCACCCAGCTTCGACATTTGAACACACTCGTCTGCAATGTTGTGGGCTACAAGCCAGCAACAGATACTGAGGCACCGGCACAAATACACATGCACTTCCCGCAATACCTATTCCTGACACGTGATTAGGTCAAACCTTTAAGCCTTGTTCCTCCATCTACTCCACATACCATTGATCAAGGGAAAAAAATGTAGGTGAGTCGCTGAGACCTGTCTAAGCATGGATAAATAACATTGTTTCACTACCCAAGGCTGCACCAAATGTAGGAGAAAATAGAGGAAAAAACAGGGAAACAAGACATACACCAGCCTGCAGGCATCACAACTGTTAAAAGAATGCTTGTAGTCTCTTAGGTGAACAAACACACAGCAATTTACTGTATTTTCACAGGCTTTGGCTTGTATTGTATTCTCCTGGACTAGGTCTTATATTTTTCATCATTCATCCTGAAACTCTTCCTTATGTGTGTTTATGAGCTTTATACACTTCCACACTTCTTCTTGCTTTCCCAATACAAAAAGGAGAATGTTAGAAGAATTAAAAGCATTGTGGAAACAACATATCTACATAAATAATAAAAAAGGCATCTGTATAGCCTCACATTTACCACTCAGTTACATTTCCACTGATACTGAAGTGCAAAAATCAAACCTTGGCCAACAAATTACACAGTGCACCAGACACAAAATAGCCTTTGCAGATTATTCACCTATCAGTCTGGTTACAAAAACAGACACAACTCAAAACAAGCCAAGATGGACCTAGAAATCCCTGCTGCCTCTCAGCTTTACATCCCACAATGCAGCGGCACTAGCACCCATTAAAAGTGACACAGGCAGCAGGACTGAGTACACCCAGAATCCCCGTTACTCTGAAACAAGGTTCACCTTGACAAGGGGGAATTCACCTGTTGTGTGAATCAGCCCTGGGACCTGCCAGAAACCAGGGCCCAGCTTATAGAAAACCTCCACAGACATTGCACAGGCTAGGGCAGATCAGCATTGTTTATGGACACCATCCCAGGAGTGGCAGCAATCCGCACAAAGCCACCCAAACACACACTTCCAACACTGTTGGTAAGAACTACAGTTGGTAAGAACACACACTGATGTTCTACACGGTCCGAGCTACCTGGCACAGCATCAAGGCTCACAGTAAAAGAAGGACCCAACACAATAGTGTACTATGGCAGGTACCACTGCTGGCCATAATTGCGGGAGTGAAAACAGCTTCAGGTTCTTCAAGAGACTAAATGCCAGACCTCCTCATGACTGCCTCATTGCACACATCGTCCATGCTGACAATCTGCAGCTAAACAGCACAATAAACAGCAGCATATACGTTTAAAACCATTAGGATGACAGCTCAGTTTCAACAGTAAACTAGTTTCTTATGGCTGGTATCCAGTTTCTGCACAACGATGGCAAGTTGCTTCTGCACTGGAACCTTTATATAAGATCGCATCCAAGGGCTGAAGAAAGTACCTCTGACCAGTCTAGAAAAATACCCCCTTTTTTAGACTAGAAAAAAACCCTTAGTCTAGAAAAAAAACCCTTTTTTATTCAAAGGCAAGTTCAGGAGTGATTTAGGCATCCAATATATGCAAGATTAAATCATTACACCATGCTGCACTAACAGCACCAGTCACATGGAGGTAGGACAGAAATTCATGCATCTGATTTGTTTGCTTCCTCCATGAACTACTGTTTGGAGTCCAGCCATGCCATGCTCTCTCCAACTACCTGAAAGGACATTGTAATGAGGTGGGGATCAGTTCTCTTTTCCCAAGTAACAAGTGATAGGACAAGAGGAAATGGCCTCAATGTTGCACCAGGTTTAGATTGGATATTAGGAACAATTTTTTCACTGATAGGGTTGTCAAACATGGGACCAGGCTGCCCAGGGAAGTGGTAGAGTTACTGTCCACGGAGGTGTTTAAAAGACATGTAAATGTAGTTCTTTGGGACACGGTTTAGTGGTGGGTTTGGCAGTGCTGGTTTAATGTTTGGACTCAGTGATCTTAGAAGTCTTTTCCAACCTAAATGATTCTATGATTCTATACAATTTCCATGGACTATGTGCCCCTCCCAGATCCTTACTTTATGGTTAGGAGAACCTTCCTCAGAAACCCTGCAGCCTACAAAAGCTGTAAATGTATAAGATGAACATTTTTATATAGATTCATAAAGGAAAGAGATCCCACAGAATACCACAGTCAATTCCTAACATGACACTAATCTTTTGAGTGCTAGGGAATATACTTCCATGTATCTTAACTTTCAGCGCAGGTATTAGAAGTTTCAACACAGACTTGATAATCAGGTTGTTGCAAAAGAAAAAAAAAATTAGGAAACAGAGTAGGTGGGCAACTTTCCTGCCTTAATTCAAAGTCCATATGCTAGAAAGCATAAATAAACTAATGAGCATAGCGACAAGGAAAATAATTTTTAAAAACTCAATCTTTTTTTTTTCTAAAAAAATAGCAGATAAAAATACAAAGGTTTTAAAATGTAGAACAATCTTTATGAACTAGCAATATATTCTGAAAAAAATTGCTGTTTTTAAAGTACTAGGTAATATATAACTATATATATAAACAAACAGCACATGATAATTTTCCAGTGAAAGAAATAAATCAGTACTGACAAATCAGTGTTATGCCACACCTCCAAAAAATCTTTCAATACTGATTATTTATGGTTTTGAAGCTTGATCAATCTGTAAATCCCAAGGGAAGAGTAAAGAAGAAAATGAAACATTTCACAAATATACTAACAAAACTCTGAAAACAGAACATGTGGGAAAATAGTAGCAAAATGAAAACAGGACTTAGAATTAGACTCTATTTCTTTTGTTTTTAAAGAGAGGATGATTTTAAATGAATTAACATACTAAGGAATGAAACAAACTGGAGCAAAATAAATTACTCTTTCAAGAAAAAAAAAAAACACAAAATAATTCAAACATAAGAAGACACACAGAAGAAGAACAAGAAAAAAAAAAGTTCAGTGGAAAGTTTGCCCAGGAATTTTTGGAGGGGATGAAAAAAAAGACAGTTGTACTTTTAAAATTTACTCAGATATATTTCTGTATCATTTGCTCTACCCTTAAACACCAAATACACATGGTAAACAGTTTAAAGGATGTTTTGACTGTCATTTTAAAAATTCAAAGTGATAGCCCAATGTTTATACCAGATTCCAGATTCTTTTTAAACTGGCCATTAAAAGCCACCTTCAGAACTTAGCTTTAGCTTCCACAGTTGGCTATTAGTTAAACACATTACTTAATTCCTAGTTTTTCCAGAACAATTTAAAAAGAAACAAGGAACTCCACTATGCAGCTTTTGGACTAATATTTTCCTGGATAGAACCATCTCTTAAGAACTCAGAAGGTTTAATTGTTACAGGATGTTTTAAAATTAATATACTTTGGAGAGAAAGAACATTTTATGTCTAGTAAAACAGTTGAGTGCCATACTATCATACTATCAAGCCAGCTGTTACTGGCACACAAAGTAGCTTTACAAGAAACTTACTCTTTTTTTTTCCTCAGTTTCCCTGCTTCAGAAAACAAGTACATCATTTACAGGTTCTGAAGAATATTTACACATTTTGAACATTCACAGCACTGTTCAAGAACTGGTTAAAGGAAGACAACTTTCTTTTAGAAGTTTCATTTCATTTCTAAAATGACCTTTGATTTGCATTTTCCAACTCTACTTAAGTCTCATATTCTTTTATGCATTAAAACATAATTTTTATAATAAATAAGTACCTTTGTCACTTCCATAATAGTAGAAGACTGTCTTACTGATAGCACACCAACGCTTTTGCCATTCAAAGCCAAGAAAACTGTGATCTGAAATTAAAATAATCTGTTATATCGATTTATGTCATTATTGAACACAAATATGCTACTTCTTTTCAAGGGTGAGGTAAGAGGGTAGAGAAGCCAGAAAAGACGCTAAGGAAAGGAAACAAAATCTGGATATGAAGAAGAGAAACGTATGGCACTGAAAAGGAAATTGGAAATAAAAATTGGTGCTAAGAAAACAAATGGGAATTTGAAATCATATAAAGAGAGAAGTCATGTGTAACATTAAATATAAGGAAATAATGAAAAATTTCCTAAATATTTCCTAGAGTTATTGCAGCATTAAGTGGGTATTAAAGTGACAATATAAGATTTATTGAATCAAGGTAAATATTGACTGAACCAAAACTGAGATCAATATTTGCCCTCTTGAAGGAAAATAAATCTTGATGCTCACTGAAACATGAAGTCAACATATGGTACTTTTACATAGGTTCCTAATGTTTTCTTCAAAAATATCTGAAAGTCTCTGAATTATGGCTGACAGTGGACTTTCACTGCATGATTTTGTTAGTCAATAAAAAACCAGGGTTTTCTTTTAATACTACGGGAGCAATTATGTTATGCTTCTTTTGCGTAACAATGCTTCAACCTTTCAGCTTCTTCTCATTTTTTATCACTCCTGTATAAAGTTATTCATGTGTATAACATTAAGTACAGGCATACAGCCTTCCCAGAAATTAAATACACACTAACTTTCACAAAGATAGCTAGACTTACCTTTTCTACGTTTTTCCAAGTATCCAGCCTTCAGAACAAACTGAAGATCCTGAGCTGCAACAGGAGGAAACTGATTCCCTGAAAGAAAAACAAATTCTGTAAAGCACTGCTTTTTAAGAAAAATGCTATTGTAGCATCAATAAAATTACGGATTTTACTCTCTCAATATGCAGGAGCTACATAGAAAGGAAAAAAAAATATTCTAATAACTACTATGCCAGATTATTTTAAGTAAAAAAACACTCTAGCTATCAATGTCAGAGCTGTTGCTCCTGTCCTCATTGCTTTAGTAAGGAAAAAATACAGCTGTGTAGAGGCCTTGCAAGTCTCAGAAGGAAAAATACGTAATTAAACATGATATAGCAACTTTGTTTTGAAACATGGTCTGTAAAGCAAGTTGGATAATAAAAGCACTAAGTTGTCAAATGTGCAAACAAAATCATCAGTCACAATTCAATGCGATTAAATCAGAAATGTGGCTTTCAATACCAGCTCTGTACAAAAATATCTGAAAGCAACATATAAAGTGAAGACCCTCTATTACATGCTTACAAAAAGAGAAACCAGATGAAGAGATGATAAAAGGTGATGCCTGCTGTTGACAGATATTGCCTAATTTGCAATATGACATGAAAGTACTGCCTTTTAGTGATCTGTAAGGTGATAGTGGATTAACCAAAGACTTTGCAGAGAGGTCTACGAAATTGTTGACCTACAGACACTAATTTTAGACTTTGCAGAATATACCTACATCTGCAAAATGGTTTACCTGTATTTTTTCCTTTTTCACAACCACTAATTTATAGTCAGAAGCATAAGACTAGTCAGTCGACCCTGCCTCAACTTAAAATAAAAATTCGAATGTCAAAAATTTGTTTGTCTTCCATCCTACATCCTTCCCTTCCTGAAATAGCAGAATCATGATTTAAATGGAACTCTTGGTACTAAGAACAGGAATATGTTAGATGTGTCTAATATTTAACATGTATATAAATATCATACTGCTTACCCCAAGCAAAAAAAGGCAGAATAAAACATATTCCTGTGCTGCTGGGTTTTTTAAGTGCATGTGAGCAACACAGTGAAGTTCCTACTACTTATTATCATTAAATATTCATAAGAGTCACTGTAGGCAGGTGGCAAGTTTACAAGGCAGCAATTATTCATCAAAATATATGTAATCTTGTTATGTTCTACCAATATAAACATACAAAAAAGGACTGATATCAGCAGATAAACCCAGTGCTAAAAACACACATTTAAACTATGCAGTTTGGGTTAAAGATCAACTGTCTGACCTCAAACCATGAACACCATCTCTGGAAGGGCAATTTCCTTGATATTTAGGTTGGTTTAGGGTTTTTTTAATCAGTGTCCACAAACTAATTTCTTTATGGTGGTCTTATCTAAATACATTTGTAACAGGAAAAAGACAAGAGATAGGAGCACATAGAGAATGCTATTTTTTAAAGTACGAAAATACTTAAAATGAAAAGGCATTCTTTAAATAATACAACTGGCTCTTTAGACAACAAACTATATTTTATTGGATACCATAAGACAGTAGATGGAATTTTAAATAGACAGAATTTGATATTTCCATTAATTTTTTTATTATTACTTTTAAGATTAGGAGTACACTAACTTCTATTTCAGCTTCTGTGGAATATTGTGTTAAAAATACAAGAGTTATGGCTGCATGTACATGCACTGTAAAATGATGCAGCTGTCACCCCTTGCTTGATAATATGCAATCACTGCACAACATTAAATGAGAATTTAACACAAAGACAATCACTGGCTGCTATGTGATAGGTTCGATAGCTACTTAAAAAGATGATCTAATGATGGTTCTATGAGTGGGGGAGGTGAAGAGTTTTACAAATATATATCATGTGCTGCTTTATATTGGTCATTGGGAGGCATCAGTGTGCAACACTTACAGCTTTACCTCACCCAGTAGGGCTCATTTTAGAACACTGCAACCTCACAGATAAGGAAGAGATGAGGAAGACATAGAACCTAACTAAGCAAACAAACAAAAGCAGTTCACTCTTAAATTTAAGAATTTCAACAGCTAGATTGATCTAATTTTATCCAATATTGTTTGTATCAGTTTGGGTTGTGATGAGGGAGCTTGGCCAGTGACCATTTAGTTAAGAGTCAAATCAAATGGGACAATATAGTCCCAGAGAACCACATCATTTAGGGACTCCCTAATGTTATTCTGTCATCTGAACTGACTACTTCATAGTGGAAAAATTCCACTCTCAGTTTTGCTACTTCTGCTGAGACAAGTCAGGATAAATTTGATGATCGTATTTTATGAAACTACATTTCTTTTGCATAGGGCACTAAAAGTTTGTGAGGAAAGCAACATGCATGAAAAAAAGGCAGCCTCCCACTGTCTGGTGGAAAGAAGTCCTCCTCCCACCCTCAACCTGAAAGGAAGCCAGTTTCTTTTTCTGTTCCTCAAAGGAACTGAGGCAGTAACTCCATAAAAGAAGCTGAAGCTGGACAGCCCCGCTGCCACTCGCAATCTGTAAGTACCTAAAGCAGAAACAGATCACATGCATATTATCATCCTTCTGTCAGAGAAGCCTGGGAGCCAAAAAATATGATGGAACTCTAGTGGAAGGGCAAGAGAAACAGACCCAATTGTAATATCCCAAGACATATACAGCTGTATAAGAGAGAAAAAGCATAAATCTGGTTAAATTCCTCCTTTCATTGCCCTGTACATCCAGAAGGAAGGGGAGGGAGAATAAGTAGTATGAAAAGGATGAAGGAAAGAGAAAGAACCACCTCCTCCCACGTTCCCATGAACCACAGGTGTTGTGCATATGTGGTGGGAAGAAAGCACGAACACGGATACCCCTGCCCCTGTACTGCAACAAAAACAACATTGGGAAGAAAGAACAGAGAATGACATCTTCCTTAGAGTTACGCCTAGAGTTCTACACTGTGCCATCTGTCTACCTTTCTTCCATTTTTTTCATTCCTTTACTGTCTTGTCCACATCTCAAACATGATTTAGAGTGAACTGCAACCCCTAGATGTGGGAACTCCCAGTCAAAAGCTTGGAATTTATGTAGCAAGTTGGGTTTTGCAGTTGCTTTCAATCAGAATTGCTTCCCCATTCATTTGAAATAGATCAGGCTTGACACAAATCTCATAAAAAAGTGTCACTAAAACAATGCTTTGCTATAGTAAAGAAGTATTTGTTTACATGATACCATCAGAGACTCATTAGTTGACTGCTACATGGGACTTGGAATAAGACAGCTCCTTCTATCAAGAATCTGTTTAAGACAGAGAAATCCTGCCAAGAAAGATGGCATTACTATTTTATTTAAATAAAGAACCATGAAGCAAATTAAACAACATGTTTTAAATCACATACTCCTTTAGAGTTCAGAGCTCTGAATTTCCCATCTTATACTCCCATGTTTGCACCAGGATGTCTTCATTACAAGGAGAATTTTCCCCTTCCCTCATGGATGAAGGTGAAATGGCCTGAATTCTGATTTTCTGTAACTTCACTAGAGATTGTCCAACATAAGAAATTAAATGTAGAAGTGCAAGGAGCTTGCATCCTGGGAATGCAAAATAGCACCTACTGGTACTATCTTTCTTGGTTGTGTTGGGCTTTGTTGCTGAGAAACTTACAGTCAAGCTGGTTACCGGATCAGAGCAAAATTTCTCTCTCAAAATCAGACCAGCAGAGATCACCATGTCTTCCTATCTACTTCCTAGCCCTGTATGGTCTGTTTCCAGATATGACTCAAGGATTTAGAAACAAAGACATTAAAATGCCCATAGTCTTCCCTGGTTTCTCCTCTGGTACACTGTAGTTTTTGAAGTCAATCTTAAATACCAAAGAGTAAAGCAGCACTCTGAGTCAAGAAGTGTTCTCTGGCTTGCACCTTTGTGAGTTTACATGTGGAGAAAGGTACAACAATTGCTTTTGTGTACTCTTCTGGACCTAATTTCTTCCGTGTCATTGCCCAGACAGTAGTGGGCATATACAGAGTTAAGGATACAAAAAAAGGTCTGATTTCCATTCCTGAGTTTCTACCTCATAAGTAATATTTTGAACCTTATTCCTTTGATGTGAAGATCAGATCGATACTATCCTATACTTTGGGAGATTATTATCTTGCATCCCAATACACAGTGTAAAATAAGAGAGGTCCATCTGCTTTATGTTAAAGGTTTTCCTTCATTCTTGACCACCCACTCACATAAGAATGTCCCGTAGTAATTTCTCTTCCTATCCTGGTGGGAATTACTCCAATAGACTCCAAACTAAAATCTGCAAGTTATGCTCCACATGCATGATGTGTAAAAAAGTAATCAAAGACCAGATCAAAATATTTATGAGTCCTAAACCTTCACGTCTTAGAGAAAAGTACATTACATGTATAATACACCGGGCTCTTCCTCTTGGTTCTAGGCACTCTTGCGCCAAGTGAGCAGCTGGCAGTTATTATAATACTATTTCTGCCAGCCGGAAAATTCCTCCAGTGAAAAGAAAGTGAAATGATCTTATTCAAGCATAAAGCCAGCCTTTCTACTAGTCATGCTTTGACTTCAGAAAAACATTAATGTTATTAATGCAGGTGTACTAATGTACAGGTTCCACTGCACAAATACCACAAACACAGAGTACCTTGTGACTTCAGAAAGACCTCAGACTACAGCTTATGGCATGACTACAATTTTTGCAACTTGGTAGCCTAACAGTCAAAAGTTTGAATGATGAAATCTTTTTTTTTTTTTTTCACTCTATTGCAACAGAGAATTTGGTCCATTACTTAAAAATAGTTTCATCAGTGTCACTTTATGGCATGAAATTCAGTCACTGCGCCTGGAATTTTGATTTTTGGAGGACCCAAAGGTGTTAAAATTTCATTCTATACACAAAATAAATAAAACAAAATCAGGTTGTATTATTCTGCACTGTTCACCAATAGGAATATTTTTTTACTTCTGTAATGTGGGCTAAGGAATACATAAAGCAAGAAATCATTAGAGGTCAATGCATTCTGAAGAAGTGCTTAGCATGCTTATGGGAA